ACTACAATATAGGATATCACGGAGAGATCCATTTATCATGTACTCATATACAATATTCTTCTCGTCTCTGTGGTCACAAAATCCTAACAGAGTGACCAAATTTGGATGGCGAAGCTGGCAGAGCAACTCAATTTCGTTCTTGAACTGCTTAAGTTCCTTCTCAGTAATCGCGTGTATTCGCTTGATTGCAATTGTACACTCAGTAGCACAACTGTTTCGGAGAGAGCCTTTATATACAACGCCAAGGCCTCCAATTCCAATTATTTGGTTTTCGTCAAAGTTGTTTGTCCATTTCCTAAGATCGGCTAGAGAAAATTGAGGGCATAGCTCTTCTATCACAGTTGGATACTGTCGCTGAGACGAAGCTGTGTGCTTAAAGCAGCAGAAGCTCAAACATTGTCCCATTTTAGATACCACCTGTTAGAAAAGATTATTCATTGGACAAAACTGAGAGAAAAGTACATAACTGAAATATGATTGCATACCACAAGTATTACCTAAAATGAGAGAAAATTTCTTGCTTTTCACCTTATTATACCACAAGTATTATAAACTTACTGTCAGTTTTGATTTCATATTTCACTGTGTTTCATTTCAAAATGGAAAATTAAGGAAAGATAAGGGAAATGAATCTTTAGTTCTAATATTATGATTATTACAATCAAATAGTACATTCAGCTAAAAGTTATGATAGTTTCATAGATGGAGATTCATATCTCCCATATCAGTAAAAGTAGTCTGGCAACATACCATCCATATATTTAATGAAAAATTTAGAAAGCAAATTACATATGTAAGAGTGTACAGTAGCAATCAAGCAAATATATGAACTGCAGATGGCATATGAATTAGCTACATAGAGATTCAAGAAACAGATTTTCCTTTATATATTACTTAATCTTTTGAAATAACTTATTCGTTGAACATTCGTTTCCTTATTAAAGCATCTGGACTTTCTTTTTTCATACTCTTTTTGTTTGGGAGGGAAGGGGCGAAGCAATTGAAATTAAGGCACAAACCAAACAAGCGCTAGTATATAGATACCTAAGAAAAAAAAATACAAAAGTTAAAGGGGAGTCTGCATATTTTTAGAAATAGAGAATAAAAATATATGGAATATCACATAAAGTTTGATATTGGTTGGAGAACCTGGAAATTAAGGGAAATGCAGAAACAAGGTTGTGTTCAGGCAGGGATCCTGTTGCTTCTGTTTCTTATATTGTTCTCAAATAAGTTTGCAGAAAATCTGACCGAAGATAATTTCCTCTTGCCAATTTTCTCAGTGTTAGGTGTCTTGACATTACCCAGATTGACTTGAGATACTCAGGTGACCTACGATTAATTAAAATTTTAATTTATTTAAGAAAATTTATTAGACTTGATGGTTTAACCAACATGTTATATAGATTGGGATTTATTAGTTACTATCAATTTCTGTATTAATACTTCACTGTTTACATTTTTTTTTTAAGTAAAATAGTTAAATATATTATTATTTTTTATGTTTTATTTGATGTTTGAGCTATATAGATAACTTTTTTTGTTTTAATTTTATAATCTCAGGAATCCTTGTACGTTTTCTTATGTTTTTCTTTCTTAATACGATTATTATGTTAGACATTTTTTCAGTTTTTATAAATTTTC